ATCTGAGAGAAGGCCCTGTTCTGCAGGCCCAGTCCAAGCACCCTTTATTCATTAAAGCCTATCCCCGGTCTTTAGGTCCGGCTGCGCGCATTCCTCCCTGAAACGCCCTCTGTAACTGGGCGCAGGAACTTGTGGCCACCAGGCTTTCCCCGGGGCGGGAGGAGCGCAAAGACTGGGCTGGGACACACACCGCGGGAGATCCTGCGCGGAGCCCGCGCACTGCAGCCGGGCTTAAAGCCGCTGCGCTAACCGCTGGCTGCAATGCGTTAGGAATGGGCGGGAAGACTGCTAAACCAAGGGACTCTTGACTAAAGAATCAAGTGAGGCGGCCAGAGATGGGGGGGGGGGCGGGGGGCAGGAATTAATGAGCTCCACAAAGCGACGTGGCCCTTTCATCGTAAATCAAGTTCAGTCCCCCGCTCGAGGAGGTCCTCCTCTTTCAGTGGAGCTCCCGCAGGGGCGACCCGCTGTCCTGGGCCAGATAGTACCCGGAGCTGGGGGAGTCCCAGACGGGCAGGGAGGGGCCACCGGGTGGGAGTAGCGGTGGAGATCAGGGCCTCGGCTCAACCCGAACTGCCGCGCGGGCGGCCGCCGCCGGAGCTCCTCTTCCGGGCTTCCGGCCGCCGAGGCGGCGTTTCGCCGAGCACACGCGGCGCTGCGCGAGCGGAGAAAGTGAAAAGGGCCGTTTAGAGAGGTTCCACCGGCGACCTCGCTGCAACCCCGGCGCAAAGGTTTCGAAGCAGCAGACTTGAGGCCCCGCTCCTCCCCAGTCGGCTTCCACTAAGAACTTACTAAATAGGAGCGATTGAGAGTTGATCTGTCACTGAGCACTACTTACCCCGAGATCTTTTGGTTTGTGAATTACTTTATTGATCTGAAGATTTTGTTCTTTGGAATGTGACCCTGTTTGGACCTAGAGCAAATCAAGAAACCGCTGATGGGGAGGTCGCTTTGTAATCACCTCGCGGACGTCCTCCGCCGGCGTTGCGGACCCTAACTCGGCGCGCCCCCTGCGGTCGCCTAGGCTTTGCCTGGAATCCGTCCGCCCGGGTGCTTTGCTCCTACGCGCGCCCAGGGAGCTGTCTGTGGTGCTAGGAGAGAGAAACCGAGCGAGGGAAGTAGGGAGAGAGACCAGGAAAAGCAGAGAGGAGAGAAACTGAGAATGCCAGGCTGGCCGAGGTGGTCCACCCACCAACACTCAGACTGACAGACACCTTCAAAATTCAGCCGGAAGGACGGGAGGAAGAAAGTCCCTTCCGAGTCATCTCATCGTCCTGAGACAGCTGCTCTCGTTTTCCAGTGCAAGAGGCCAGTGTTTTCTCTGAAAGCACACCCCCCAACGCCCCCCCTACTCAGCAGCGTGCCAAAGGTCAGAAGGGAGGGGCACTGGACCTGGCTACGAGACCCAAATGCAGGGAAAGAAGTGGTAGAAAGGCTGCAACTGGACAAGAAGTGGGATTGGGCAAAGACCTAGTGGAAGACTCAAAGAGCCTGTCCCAGGGTCCACGGGGTAAACCCTAGAGAAGTCTGCACTCGCCCTTCTTCCCACATCTCTAGACAACTGCCAAGGCACAGGGCAAGCCAGCTGTGCTTCACCAAGGATCCAGAGCTATGGAGGAGAGATCAGTTCCCTCTGAGGCTCACTCTTGCTCCTGACTATTCGCACCAGTGACAAAAAGTCAGTTTCTTTCCAAGTATGTTGACTTCAAGCCGTGCCTGGCTTTTTAGAAAACCAGGCAGCTCTTTTACAGTATATTTTTGTAACCACGTGGCTTAACAGGAACCAAAGTTTCCCTAGCCCTGGGGAGAGCTTTTCAGAATATTTTTAGAAAGTTAAAAATACAGCAAAACAAACTATTCACAAGCCGCCTGTTTAAAGAGGGGAGGTGGGATTCGGCAGACTTCTGGGGAAGGGCTGCCTAAGCAAGAGTCAGATGGCAGGGAGGGAGGAAGAGGGAAGTCTTAGTTTGAGCACAAGCGGTTTCATTTGCAACAGAGGAAATCGGCTGGCTAATTTGCCATCATGTGGGCTTTCATTTTAAGGGGTGGGGCAAAAATAAGCTGACAGAAGGTGGTAGGTGTATTCGCGGGAAGCACCGAGGCAAGCAGCAATCATTACTTTGCAACTCATTGAAAATTACTGGCTTGAGTTAAAACGACTAGCTGCTAGCTGAGGAGTTAACTTGCTTTACACCCACTACAAATTTGTGCTAGGTTCGCTGGGATTCCAAGAGCTAGTCTTGGGGTGGGCAAATCTAAGAGGTCTTTGCGGGTGTTTAAACATCTCTCTAAAAGAAGTTGGTGTTCCTGTGTTTCTGTAGCAAGCAAAGATTGCCACAGAGAGACTGTTTTTGCCAGTCCCAAATTACTGAAAGGAGCAATGGAGTCTAGTTGTGGAGTGCCCTTCAGATGCTGGCTGAAGGTGGGAAGAGAAAAGGAGTGCAGCTCCCAGGGACTACTTTCCTCCGGGCCTTCATGGCTAACCCCGGGCCTCCCGAGAGAAGAGACCTATGGCTGTTATCTTGTTCCTTGCTTTTCAGAAAAATGTGGGGTGGCACTCTTCACCTCTTAGCCACCCCTCCCCACTTTGTTGGGCAGGCACAGAAGGACAGAAGGACTCCTTTTAAAGGAAAGGACTGGGTTTGTGTTTGACTTTTAAGCAGTACGTTGGGCATATTTGAAGTGAGAGTCACCTGCTGAGGTGCCCTTGGTAGTGATGCTACAGAAAGAAAAGAATGAAAAGAAGACATCCAGGACTCAACTTTCTTCCCAGAACCACCCTCTACCCTCATCATCCACTTGGACAACGTAGAGGCAACAGGAAGTAACCAAATTTAGAAAGAGAATTGGCACATTCAGCGGCATGGTTGGTGGGGAGTGGGTAATAAGACTTTGAAGAAAAGCACATTTGAGAGGATTCTGGTGAATCTAGAGTATTTTCTAGTAGCAGTGGAATATGAGATTAAGAAACCTTGGTTTCTATAGACATAGTGCTTCCCCCTGCATTGTCCATCTATGCAGTCCAAGTTCAGCCTTGACAGTGAAGGGGCAGCAGGCAGGCTGCTCAGCAGAATGGCTGGTGAGCTGCTGGCAGCAGATGGGTGCTAGAGCCTTGTCTGTATTTGTAGGTTTATGTTTTTCCCAACTGGACCTGAGGCCATTTTTTTGTAGGAATTTGGGATGTGTGAACTCCAGGTCCCACTTGTGTCGAAACTGACCAGTCCCAGGACCAGTGCAGACAGAACCTATGGTTCTGCCGAGCCTTGGAAAGTGTCTTTTTAGGCCCAGGCAGACCATTTTGAATTACTTCAACTTGACTGTAAAACCAAGCAGCAGCTAAGATGGAAGGAGGAGCATCCGTTAAGTGCTCTGGCTTTGGGCATTCCTCCTAGTCACAGCAACACCCAGCTTCCAGCCCAGCCCAGCTGCCTGAGTTTCCCCCCAGCTCAGCGGGAAGAAAAGGAAAAGGGGCAGCCCAGCCCCTTTTGTTAAAATCAAACAAGACCAAGACCATTTTTAAAACAAATGGATGAGCTGGAGAGAAATCTGCGAACCACTCCCTAATTAGCAAAGGTCTGATTGAAGCGCCTGAAGCAATTTCCTCCTGGATTTCACTTCTTTCTTCCTTTCTTCTTTTCCTCTCCTCCCCAAAACACACTCCCACAGCACTCCAAATCCTTAAAAATGTTTTTTTAACTACTAAGGTTTAGACATCAGAGAAAGTTGGAGGATGGGTCTGAATGTGTTTCTGCTGTGTGACTTACCCCTTTGACACTGTTCAAAGATAAGAGTGGGGACAGATATATAAGGTTACTGGATGTGGGATCCTACTCTCTCGCTCTTCAAGAAGTAATCTAGGGGCTGGAGAAGGTGGGAGCAGCCCAGGAACTGCACCCCACCCCCCATTCAGTTTTTCAGTCTTATATAGTCCTGAGTGCTGAGCATCCGGGGGGGGGGGGGGCATCTGGGCAGAAATCAGGCCCTCGCCAGAGTTACTACAAGTATTTTACACACCCATTCACACCCACTCCTAAAGCAGGCAGTGGGCTTCCTCCACCCTCCGGGCAGGTCCTCTCATTTTGTGGTTCCCAGGTCCTCCAGAGGCTCTGATAAAAAGCTTGGCTCGCCTGTCCGGGCCAGAGTTGCATTCCCTCTCGAGGCATCCCTACTCACTCACAACCTACTCACTAGGACGAGAGGCTCGGCCTGCGGCAGCGGGCTGGACGCCCACCCGGGGAATGAGAAGGCTAAGATCAAAGCCGCCACCAGGGTTTGTTAGCCGGCCCTCTCCGAGTCCCCGGGGCGTCCTAATTGCGCGCCCTGCAGCCTCGCGCTCGCAGGCTGTCCTGCCGTGCGGGCGGCGGGCCTCGGGCTTCGGAACAGCTGCGAGGCCCGCGGAGCGTCGGCGCGCCCGCCCGACACTGGGGACCCTGGCTGCCCCGGGAGGAAGCCCTGGGGAAGGAGGAGGGGCGGACAGACCCGGTTCAGCTGGGGCTGCCGGGCAGGCCCAGGCAGCAGGGAAAGTTGGCCTCTCACTTAGCAATCACCAGCAGCCTACGGGCAGCTTTCTCTCCGGGCCTCGCAGGCTGCTCTGAAACCATCCACTTAAAAATAAAGAAAACCACACAAATAAATAACGGCTCGGAAGAGGCCAGCATGAAAAAATGGAGCTGTTTTTTATACAAGTCAACCCGACATCTTTACAGATTTCATAAATTCCTAATATTCCGGGAAGGATTTTTTTCCTAAATCAAATCGGTCACTTCACCATAGTACATTCTGCTTTAGTAAAATCAGCTCCCTTGGATTTCATCACTTGTTAAAAAAAGATAAACTTTATTTTTGTAATTTTCAATCACAAAAAATCTATATTTTTGTCTAAGCATTTATTTTACTGAATCAAAAAGACATGAAAAGAAAAATCATGTTTTACTAACGTATATAAGTGACTCTTTTTTGGACAACATATAATAAATATGATATATCACTTATCACTCAGTCTTTCAAATGTACATTTTTTTTTTCATTTTATGGAGCATGCCACTTTTCCAAAAGAAAAAAGATCATGAGAAATCAGTGCAAAGTTCTCAGTTAGCCTCCTCTTTTCTCTGGGGCAGGCGGAAGGTCCACAGCAACGCCCTCTGCCTCAGAACTGGAGGCCGTCTGTCCACCTACAATTCTCCGCCTGTGCAGTTTCCTCTCCGTGCCCTTCTTTCTTTCCTCCTTACCCCTCCCCCTCCCTCCCTCCTGCTTGTCCCTAAAGTCATTTTTAAAAGAACTTGAGGTTTTGTTTTTGTTGATGTTTTCACTTACTGATCGCACTTTGTGTGGGGTCAGCGTTTTCACCAGTCACACTGCAGTGGGGGAGCTTTCCAGCCCTGCCCCTGGGGGTGGGGAGAGGGACAGCCGAGGGCTGGCTCCTCTGGGGGGCCCCGCCCATTGGTGAGTGTCTTCCTCTCTCACTCCGTGGTCCCCGGGTGCGCTGCAGGGAGGCCCGTTGGCCGGGTGCCGGGAGAGAAAGGACGGCAGTCCGAGGAGGGGAGGGAACGGGAGAGGGACTGCAGCGCTGTCCTGGATCTTGTCCTTCACCGGGGGTGCGGGGTGCCTGGAATGGGGTTGGACAGGGGGTTGAGAGCCGGCTGTGCCCCGGGCCCCAGGCCGTGGATGAGCACGCGGGGCACCAGGGGCCGCTGCAGCGGGGGGTGGGGTGCGGGAGGAGTCCGGTACATGCTGCTGTACATGGCGGCGGCCGCGGCGGCTGCAGTAGTACTGTCCATGCTGCCCAGCAGGCTGGGATGGTAGAAGTAAGGCGACGGAAACATCCTCTGCAGTGCCGAATAGTTCCCTGCCTCGGCCAGCAGCTCCAGGCCCACAGCGGTCTGCCGCTTCCACTTGGTCCTGAAAAAAAGTGGACGTACGCGCACCCCGCAGCTGCGGGCACGGTCCAGGCGCCAAGGCCCCTTCTCTCGCCCTCTCCCTCCTTCTCTTCCTGGGGGACAGGAGGCTGAGAACCGGGGATGGCCCCATCTTGTGCACCTCCCACCCCCAACACCACCCTCTTGCTCACAGAGTGACCAAAAGCCAAGGCGGTTTTTCTGAGATATTCGCAAATGAAATTCTACAAGCTTTGCTGCCTCATTCCCTGCTCCCCTGTTTCCTGCCACCCCTTATAGTTTGGCTACCTCTGGAAACTTTCCTGAAAGCCGGCAAAGGCCACTCTTTCTATAGGCGATCTTTCCCCTCCTCTAATTCCCTTCCGTAGTGAGTGGTTCCCCAACAATCCTAGAGTGTCTCTCTGCCCTCCCCCGCCTTTCCTCCTGGCTGAGAAAGAAGAAACGGTAAACAAAGGGACACAGAGACTCCTGGGCCTTGGACCCGGCCTCTCTCAGTCCCCAGGGCCATTGGGGACATCTCTCTCTTAAGCCTGACAGGACCTTACAGGAGGCAGGGGACTTAGGGCAAGGAAGGTGACAAGGTTTCCAAACAGAATTCGGAATTCGTTTGAGGGAGTTTTCTCCCAAGGGGTCAGTACCTCCAGGCCATTCCAGGAGGGAAAAAATGCATTTCAAGATATTTTCTCCTCAGGGAGAGAGTAACAATTAAAATCTGTGATCAGCTTTTCTCAGTCTCCTCCCTCCCCCACTGCATTCTTGTTAGAAAGAGGAGGAGAGCAGGCCTTTGCTCAACTGTCTCATGAAGGAACTCAGGACTGATGGGCCATCCATACCCGGCAGCTCCAGCCAAATTAATAAACATGTCGTCCATTTTAAATTGGTTACAAATGACACTAATGTTTTCCGACAGAATTAGGGTGGCTAAAACCGTATGTAATGAGACAGAAAATTATGGTAAAGATGACAACTGGATGGGCATTTCTGACTGCACTTATGGACGATTAGAACATGAACAAGAGAAAAATCGAGACAAGGGAGACAAGTACCAGGCTTAGAAACACAGTATAACCTCAGCCTCAGCTTGCCTGGGTTTCCTCTACAGTTCAGGGGCCTTGCAAGCTTTGCCAGCTCCCTTCCAAATTTCCTTTGAGGCTCCTGGTGGGCTCCGGGGCAGCCAGTACAGGGGACAGATCCTCAGTATGGATGCCTAACGAGACACTGATTTATTCTCCTGCCTGCTGCTGCCCACCTTAGCTGTCCTGGCCACCTCACTGGCCAACACAAGGGCATTTAAGTCAAGACAGTGAGGTAGTTCTTCCAAGACCGAAATAGCTAGGCTGTGTCGCCAGCTACAGACGTTTGGAACCAGTCTGCGGCAGGCCCAAAGGGTACACCTCGCAGGCTCCACGGGCCTGAGTGTCAGCTGCATGGATGTCTGGTTTTGAGAAGGTGTGGCTTGGTTGATTTTGGGGCAAAGTGGCGGAGGGGGCCATGGGTGGAATTCTAGCCACTCAGATTTGAGAGGGAAAGTAGCACATGTTAAGACACTTACAAGTGCAAAATTTTCTAAACTCCAGCTGCCTATGGACAGCTCTTACCTTGGGGGAGTGGCTAATCCCTGCCCCTGCTTGAAAGCCCCCCAAGTGCCCACTCCAAGCCCTCTGAGTCCCTAGCATCTCCCAAGGCCAGGAGGGAAGAAGACTAGTGCTATGGTCATGACCTGGATGGCCAGATGCTTTGGTCCCCCACAGACCCTCCCTTACCTGCGATTCTGGTACCAGGTCTTGACCTGGGTGTCAGTGAGGTTGAGCGAAGCCGCCAGGTCCATACGGTCCTGCACACTCAAGTACTTCTGCCGCTCAAAGCTACGCTCCAGTTGATTGAGCTGGTGGTCAGAGAAAGCCGTCCTGGCCTTGCGAGGCTTTTTGGCTCTCACAGGGGGACTTTCTCGGCTACTTGTAATCTCCCGGTCTCCTTCTTCCTTTGTTCCTATGATAGAAATCCAGACACAGCTCAGTAAAGTAGCCTGGAATAGGGAAGGATGGAGCGTCCTCCTGGCATACATTTCCACATTCCCAAGCCAGCTGCCAGTCTCTGGGGACTATATTCTGCCACTCTCCTCACACACATACTTAGATTTCAGCCAGTGTGGAGAAAGAGGACCAATTTCTGTCTAGGGAGTACGAAGCCTTGTGTGGAGTTCCTTAAAAGGGTTGTAAAACGGTATCATATCTCTCCACCTTTGAAATTTAAAAAGAAAAAATACTTTCTAATAAAGGGCCCTTTTGTTACTGTTTCCTTGACTGGAGAGGGTGGGGAGACCCTGTCCCTTTCCTTTATTGTTTTTCACTATGACTTCATTTTTTTTTTTTTTTTTTAGATTTGGTAGTTTTCAAGAGGTCTTTCTATTTTAGTTCTTTTTTTTTTGGAGGGAGCACCTTTTTCATTTCACTTTTTCTGTTTACTCAAAGTTATAGGCATTTGTTTTCCTTTATCAGGTACACTTGGGAAATGTTGGAATCAAGCTCTCTGCAGCCGTTTGCATCACGTCTTGCAAAGCTTCAGAAAGAATATGTCACCCAGACACTGAGCTGAGCTCAAAATCACTGAGCCCATTCAGGTGACAGGCCAGAGATTTCCGGATTCCATTTGTCAACTTTGGTTTTTTACTGAAATGCTGGGAAATCAATATGTCAATCCCTCTCTGTTTGTACCCGTTTTTTGCTGTGCTCCTTGATCTTCCCTGCAGGAAGAACAATAATCTCTCTAATTGACCCACTGGGGAGGTTGGTGCACAAAAAATCGCCAGACCAGACTGTACATCTGTTTTGGGCACTATTATGCTAATGCTGTAATAGTAAAATGAGAAGCCAATATCCTACCTTCCAGACAGTCAGCACACATCTTTCCCAGGGATGGTGAATATTAATAATAATAATAACAGTAATAATAATAATAACAACAATAGACAACTTAGTAAAGGAAAAAAAACTTTCCTGCTATGTTAAAATTCTTTTGCCATAAATACCAGAACACTTATGAAATTGTCTGGAAAAACTTGAAAAAGGGAGTTGAAGGACAATTTCAATTGCCATCTTCTGATTTTACAAAAATAGATAAATTCAATTCCATAATTTTTACTTTCATAAATGCTATGTCTAAATTACTTGTAAGGAGCCAGAAATTTTACTAAAATGCAGATATTCGGTTGGAGTCATACAGTAAAAAGGGTGTTTTTAAAATACAAAAAAACTGATTATAAATTTTTATCTTGTGGACTTCCCTATATTAACCATGATCTAATTTTCAAAAAAGTTGCTCTGTTAATCAACTCGGAAATTTTTCCTCCATTAAGTCTGATAATTCCTGTGATATTGTTTAGAAAATTTGTATTTAGGGGGAAGGAAATAATTTTCATTAAAAAAAATAAGTACCATGTTGCAATTACAGCCCAAGACACCAGCTGGCTAAGCCTGTTTCTCTCTCCCACCTCTCCCTAATTCGCACTCACAAGGTCTCGGTTTAGAAAAATCTCAAGTCTTTGCCTTTTATCAACGAAAGTATTTCCCATCAAATACCCTCGCCGCTGGCCCCTTCCTAATAAATTAAAATTAGGTAAAACAAAGAAAGGAGGTGGATGACGGTGTGGGTTGAGAGGTAGAAATGCAACAATAAGCAGAACTTTGGGCGAGTCTCAAGTCCCGGAATCGCACACCCGGGCACTCGCGCCTGCAGTTTTTAATTGTGGCGAGATCGCCTCGGAAGGTGCCGGAATAACTCCCCACCAGAGAGATCTGCGGGAGACTGAAGGGGTGACAGGGAACCAGCAGGACAGGCGAGACGGCTTGGGGCTGAGGGAGCCGAGGTGGCGCGACTCACCGTGGCATTTGATGTCGCTCTGGGAATCTTCCCGCTTGTCCAGTTTGGTTTTGCTGTCCTCCTGCTCCAGCTTTGGCCTGAAGCTCTCGTGTGCTGCGTTGCTCTCCTGCTTCGGGGTGTGGTGGGGAGAGGAAACGCTGGTGCTGTAGGGTGCACAAGCCGCCAGAGGTTTGCTGTCGCCCAGGATGTCTTTAATTAAAAAAGAAGAGGTGGAAGTCCTGGGGGCCGAGGCGGCCGAGCCCAGCTGCTGAGCGGGTGGCTGCTGCGGCGGCGGCGGCGGCGGCTGCTGCGGCGGCGAAGGCTGCAAACTTTGCGTTGGGGCTGCGGCCGGCGGCGGAGGCTGCTGGCCGTGGTGGAGGTGGTGGTGATGCTGGGGCCCGTCTACCAGATGCGTCTCCGGAGGCTCCATGGTGACAGAGATGGGAGAGGAAGGCGCCGTTCCTACGGTATCAATCTCTGAACAGGGGGATGGAGTGGCCTGACTCCTAAAATCCGCGGTCCTAGTCTCACCGAGCGGGCGGAAATCTCCATTCATCATGCCGGGGCTGCCCGAGCTGGCACTGGACAAAATCGTGTCTATTCCAAAACTCGACCCGCTGGCCCCTTCCATTGTTGTCATTTCTACATGAGGTCCACGCCACTCCGCCGCTCAGCAGCCGCCCCGACCAAGCAAAGAAAGCTATCGATCGTAAAATAAACACTAAACAATGTTGTTGCCGCTTTAAAAAAAAAAAAAAAGTGGGGAAGGAGGGAAGGAAGGACAATTGGGAGGTGACAATCGGTGGGCAGTTTCGACACAACTTTTTTTCCCTTTATGCAAAAAGTAAGAGTGGGAAGAAAGGACGACTGAGGGGAAGTTACAAAAAATTGTTGAGAACGCACAGAGCTTGCGCTCCAGGGACGACCGCGCGTGTGGGGCAGCGGTGGCGGCGCAGGCGACAGGAGGTGACCCCCGAGGCTGCCGCCGCCGCCTGGGTCTGCTCACAGCCTGGCACCAGGCGGCAGCGGCGGCGGCGGACGTGTCAGGTGCAGCGACCCCGAAGCCCAGGCGGCCGAGCGCGCCTCGGAGCTCCCCGGCGGCTCCCCGAGGTGGCTTGTCGCGTACGACTTGGCCGCCCCGGCGCCGAGTTTCTGAACTTTCTCGTAAAGTTGTGGAGCAGACACCGCCGCAGTGGTCGCGGCAACACGAGGAGGAGGAGGAGGAGGAGGAGGAGGAGGAGAAGGAGGAGGAGGAGGAAGAGGAGGAAACGAAGGAGCAGGTGCAGGCGGAGAAGACGGCGGAGACGCGGCGCCGTGCGACTCCGGCTGCTGCCGGGCGCGTTCGCTTGTAATCCGGCTGCTCGCGGGCGGCGCCGACCCCCTCCCGTGACGTCACGGCCACTGCCGCCGCTCCCCCCCCACCGCGCCCCTGCCGCCGAGGCCGCGCGCCGGGCCCCGCCGCCCCCATTGGCCGCGCCCGCGCCAGCGAGCGACGCCGACGTGCCGGGAGCCAATGGCCAAGCGGCTCGCGAGCCCGTCAGCTATCGCGGGTCGGCTCCGCTGCTCTTTTGAGAAGCCGCAGATCCCTTCGCCAGCAGCCCAAGGCCGAACGCCTAGTCCTACTGTGGTCCCGGTGTCCCTGTCGTGAGGGAGGGCAAAGGGAGAGAGAGAAAGAGAGCAAAGAGAAACGACAGGAGGGAACCAAAGGGATAAAAGAGACAGAATAGTAAGGATTTGCCCATTTTCTTAAATCTGAAGAGGGAAGGAAGAGTGCAGGACGTGAAAAGCAATCTGGCCGGCTTACCTTTAGCCTCCCTTACGGCCTCCTGCGCAGCGTCCCCGAACACGCGTTTGACTAGTCCGAGGACACTGAGAGCAGAGGAGGGGGATCCCTGAAGGAACCCCCCGGAAAGTGTGTAACTCCAGCAGCCAGAGCTCTGGGTGCGCGAACGGACGTCCGGACGGACATCAAGCTCTGATTCCTCCCCCAAAGAGCTCGGGCGCCGGGCTCTGGCGCAGCCCGGGCGCCGGCCCCCGAGGGCCCGCGTCCACCGGCACTCCCTGGAAGGGCTGGGAAGCGGCCTGCTGCTCCAACCCAGTGACCCTCTCTAGTCACCAATCAGGGCCTGTGACGGGGGAAATGCCAGGCACTTTCTCCCGAGCAGGGGAAATCAAACCCCAAGGCGTTCTGTTGTGGCGCTGCAGCCGAGGCGCTTTGCGGCGTCAGGCCGGCGAGGGCGCGGAGCCTTGGGCGGTGGGTCCGCAGCGGCCGTTTCGCCTCCAGGCCGTTTTCAGTGCTCGCCCGCTCGCTTCCCGCCCCCTCCCCTCCCGTTCCCACTCCCTCCCTCCCTCATTTGGAAAGGAAACGGTCACTATGGATTTACTGGGGGACCTGGAGCAGGGCTTGACGGTGACACCTCGTCGGAGGGGATCAACTTGCATCATTTTCTCTAGGACGTTTCCAACCTGTCTCTTGTTGAATGTCAGAGTAATGGGAAGTGCCAGTGACAAGACGGCGTATTACTCCTGATTAAGTGCCGTGTCAACCTAATTAGCAGAGTAATTATAAGGTGCTAATGAATGATTCAAAGTTCTTTGAGTTACATTTTACTTCAAATTACCATTTTAAGAACCCTATGAATCTGAGTGGCTGGCATCACTGCCGTGACTAGGTGCAGAATGATGGTATAAAATGGTCTTGAAAGTTTTTAAGGGCTGGGCCGAAATCTGGGCTTCAGTTGAGATTCTGAAGCTCACTTTTGGGGAGCAGCTTTTTTCCGCCCCAATTCAGGACCAGGGGTGGAGGTTCGGGCTCGGGAAGGCAAATGACCTCCTGGGACCAGATACTGCTTTTCTGTCGGCATTGGATCTGGGCGAGCCCTGGTCCGGAACGGGGTATGTGGGAGATTCATCCTCCCTGCGTTTTCCCAGAGAATTCAATCTGTTTAACCCAGAAAAGGCGCGCCCCATTTCAAGGGTGTGTTGAGCTGTTTCTTGTGTCCTTTGTGCCGTTTTTCTCCAGGGGTCTGTCTCTGAGGAGTACTGTGGGAAGACGAAAGACCGAGGTCAGGAGGTGTACGCTTCAGGCCGCTCTCGATGTTCTCGGAAGGCGAGGGGAGTTCGGTGAGGAGCCGGGGTGGGTGAGCCCCGGGGGGCGGGGGGAGGCGCGGCCAGCGGCAGCAGGAGCCCACCTGAGAAGGTGCGGGGCGCCTGCGGAGCGCGTGGTGGGCCAGCTGGGGTCGAGCCCCTCTGGATAATGCCTAGAGCGGACTTGGCCCCTTCCAGGAGCCTGCTGGCCCGGCCTCAGCCTTCCGGCCGGTGGGGACTTTAGAACCCTTTGCCTGGGTCTTCGGAGGGCATCTGTCTTATCTAAGGCCGAAATGTCCCGCCCAAAAGGCCGGACGCCCCACACCCTCACGGCCTGGGCACCCCACGACGCTGGCACACTGGGCTTCGACCGGAAGGGCACCGGGGCTGTCCGAACTGCAGGCGGACAGTACACATTCTTCTTTCAAATAACAATTAGGGCTCTTCTCATTCAGACATTATCCACCAACTTCCCAAATGGGGCGTGTTTCCTCCCAAACCTGGGGCTCTAACCTGCCCCTCCCTGGCAGACCATTCTGGGTGGAAAGTGGGGAGGAAGAAACACATTTAAGATCCAGAACTGACGGCACTGCGCAAATCACTTATTCTCGACCTTGATAAATAATTCATTTAAGCCTGTTTTTGTTTTATTCTGATGACTAAAATGACTCAAGAGCTCAAAAAATGGGGCTCACAGCTTGTGTTGGGCTGTTTGGCGGAATTTTTTGCTTGCAATAATTCACAGCATTAGCAGAGGAGACAGAAATATGTCCCTACGGAAAAAATGAAATCTAAAAAGGGAGAGGGAAGGTGGAAGTGTTAGGGGGAGGGGAGGTGTTCGTTTTATGAAAACTCTAAAGCAAACAAAACAGAAGTCCGCCCAGTAGACCTCATCTTAAGAATGGTTCAGATCGTGTTTTCTTAAGAAAAGGTTAAGATGATGGAAGATTTCTTTGAGTGGGACGTTAGATCAGCTTTCCAGAGCAACAATTGTGAGGGGAAAGCAGGACCTTGACTTTTATCAAGGCGAGTCTCATCTTCGGGTCCTACCAGACAGGAAATGCTACTAGTGGCCAGAAGACCTAAAAGAGGGACTCGAAGACTAGGACAAGATCGAAAACTTAATGAAAAACAAATTTTTCAGGGGTGGGGTTTTGTTACTTAACTTTCCACAGATCTTTTTTCTACAGACACATTCCTCTTTTGTCATTTTTTTCCCTGAGAACATATGTATAGGGAGGGACCATGTAGATTGTGAGTATGTGAAACAGAGTTTATTCCTACATTATTATTTATTTATTATTGCATTATTTTCCACATCAACAACTGCAAACCTACTTTTGTCCCACACTGTATAAACACCCAAGCAAACAATTAACTGTTCTTTAAAAAATCAAAACTCAGAAATAGAACAGAGTGCAGATTAATCACATTTTCAGTTCCCATGTATAGGAAAAGAAATGTGTTAACAGGATTTAATCTCAGATTTTTTTTTCCCACTGGATTTAAAATACAAATAAATATAGCCCCTAAATTGACATAAGTTTGAAAATTATCTTCCACTTTCAGGCCTTTATTTCCCTTAAAATAAGACAAAGGAAGAAAGAAAATTCTTTAATTTTTGGAATATTTTAGAATTTTTGCATAGAAAGCAGTTATTTGCCAACTGTGGATAATAGAGAACAGCTTTTCCTTCCTGGCTTTTAAAGACATGTCTGTCCTGATTACTAAAGATGCTCCCTCCCCCCTACAGAAAAAATCTCAAACACGTGTATTTTAACAAGTTTTGTTCCTCAATACACTCTCTCAGAGGCTCACTTTTACAATGTAGATTTGGGGTTATGTTTAAACTGGAGCATCAGGTTTTTTGAAAACGGAACTGAACTTTGAAGAAATTCACGAATAGATTAGGAAGAACTTCGAACTGGTATTTCTTCCTATTACATTTTATTTAACCGGTTCCAAGGATCCACAAGACGACAATACCAACTGACCGACATGAGGTGCAAAGGCGCTTGTCTCCACTGGGCGGCGCCAAGAGCCTCAATCCAAGAGAGCCCGCTATTGTTTCTTTCTACATAAAACATGCATGATACACAAATAAGCTTTCCCCTTCGAAGGCTAATTCCCTGACGATAATGTGACTTCTTACCTTTTTAAGGCTACAGAAACGTTGGACGTTTTCTTTCTCCCCACCCCTCCACCCCTAGTCTATCAATATATTTCCAACTGTGTAAGGGCTTGATGTGTATTTGCTTTAAAAAATAATGTAATAAAGAGAAAGACATGAAAACACTGAAATTGAGTTACTTAATAGTCTGAAACCAGAAGAGTGGAGATTGGGAGTGGAAGAAGAAAGGTAAAGTGGAAAAAAACGAATAAGGTAACTGAACACTGGTTTAACAAAACAACAGGTTAAAATGATGATAGTCTGTGGAATTACTAATTGTCCTAGGGAAATAAAAGTTTTGCAAGATCATTTTGGTATCATAATAAAACTTGTGACAGCTGTAAGTTTCACTACAACTTTACAGATCAGCAACTTAGAAGGGACTTAGCAAAGTTTGCTCTCCCTTTCCGGTTAGATGTGTGTT